TCATAGAGTGTGTGTGTTTGTGTGTGTGTGTGTGTGTGTGTGTGTGTCTATGTGTATGCGCCCTGGGTGCTGTTGAAGTCCTGGATGTCCTTTCTGTCCCCACCTGTGCCTGAGGCTTACCCTGGTCCAGGTTCCCCGCTAACTCACCTAATGAATAGTGAACGCTGTTGTCAGGGCTGATCAGGAGGAGCAGCAGGGAGACAGACGAGGAACGGGGCTGATGGAGAGTCGGGGGAGAGTTGATGAGTGAGTCGAGATGAGGGGAAAGTACTTTGGTTGTCATTGATCCACTTCTTCAGCTCTGTGCCTCAGTCTTGAAGGGAAATGACAACACATACTGACACAGTCGAGTACAGAAGCAGCTGAAGAGTCCAGGAGTCCCAGTGGACAGACACGTCAGGGATTGGAAAGTCAGGATTTTGCTTTGATTCAGTGGATATTTTAGGGTTTTTTTAATACGCTCACCAGCCACTTTATTAGGCACACTTGTTCAACTGCTCGTTAATACAAATCACACGGCAGCAAGCAGTTCTGACAATGATCTGGGATGTAATGGTTTGTTTTCTCCCTTCTCTGTCTTACTATGCACAAACTGCACCCAGACACAGTGGGTCTGATCTTTCGTCACCAAGCAACCAGACAGCACGAAGCCAAATAACTGGCTGGGCAGCCTTGAAGTGAATGGGAGCTGGAGAGGGACTTCAGCTGCACCATTCCTCCCCCTTTCCAAGTATTTTTCAAGCAGCATTGAAGACAAAATCACTTTTTTTTTTAAATGTCAGGTTTGTGTTTGATTGAGGGATGTGGAAGGAGACCAAGAGAGAGGACACTGGAGCAGCCACTGAGAAAAGGGCAGAGATGTAAAAGTAAACAGGTTTAATATTAAGCTTTCACTGACCCAGTGGGGAAAACTGATTTATTAACTTTTCAGGCTTCATATTTTCAAAGGGGTGAGACATCTTTGACTCTCACATCTCAGCCTGTAAAGGCTTTTGAGGAGAGCACAGCTTTAAACCCCGGCTGGCTCGAGACTCAGGCGCCTCTCAGTTAAAGTAAATAAATGTCACACCACTTGAGAAACAAGCCTCTTTAATGCAGTGTTGACTTGGTTCTGCCATTATTTACAGGCAAGTGAGACGGGGGTTACCAGGCAGCTGGGGTTTCAAGTCACCTCTCACTGTGTTCTCGTTTGTCGTTTACTTCAAGCGTTCATTGAATTTACCTTTTTCCGACTTCTTTGGCAAACACTTTTTGTATCATAAGTATGTTGAAACACCTTTGCAGCTCAGTTAGCACCAAGTGTGGTAACCTTTGGTGTCTGCTGCTTTGCCCTTCTTTCCATTTAACCAAGACCCTACAGTAATGACAGTGTTGTAGTTGTCACTAAACCTCGAGTCCAGGTCGAGTCTTGAGTCCTTAGTGTTTGAGTCTGAGTCACCAAAGAATAATCCGAGTCGAGCCCCCGTTACCTGAGTCAGAGTCATCAAGTTCTATGTTAAACACAACTGACACAGCTCTCACCATTTTATATTCTAAACTTTCTAACAGTGTGTTGCATCACCAGCTGGCTTGGCAGTTTGATACGTAACAACCATTTATAGAAAGGTGGAGTGTGCGCTTCGGTGGGAGTGTACTGGATACAGCATGGTGCGGGTACACAGGTTTTAATATCAGAATCTTATGCCAAATTATTATGCCCTACTACAAAAAAAAAAAGAACTCTGAGTCCTTGTTTCCAACTTCCGAGTCTGAACGCAGTCGGTGCTTGAGTCCAAGTCCTCCGTAGAAGTCGAGTCTGAAAACCTGGACTCAAATCTGAGTTCTGGACTCAAGTACTACAAGACTGAGTGAAGCTCCGTCAAGCTGACTTTGAGCTAACCGCTAACTTTAGCATACTCAGAGTCAGTGGTGGAAGAAGTATTCAGATTCTTTACTTCAGTAAAAGTATCAGTACCATAGTATAAAAATACTCTGTTACAAGTCAAAGTCCTGCATTCAAATTGTTAAGTTAAAGTACAAAAGTATTAGATAAAATATACTTAAAGTACTAAAAGTAAAATGGCTCAATTCACATGAATTATATCGTATTGTTGGACCTGTAATTATTGGTGTATTATTGTGTACATCACAGTTAGTGTTGAAGCTAGTAAAGGTAGAGCTAAATGTTAACTAAGTTATATGCTTATACTTTAAAGTACTTTACATAGTGCTGGCTAGCTTGTGAATTTCACACCAGGCATCAATGAAGTTATGACTATAGTATATTTTATTTAAACTTGTGAATTTCACACCAGTTATGACTATAGTATATTTTATTTAATTATCTCAGTCTGAAAAGTAACTAGTAACTGAAGTTATCAAATAAATGTAGTGAGTAAAAAGTGTTTTTCTGTAAAATGTAGTGAGGTCAAAGTATAAAGTAGCAAAGAATGAAAGTACTCAAACATGGTATTGCTAAGTAAATCTAATTTACCATATTTCCCTCTCAGCATGATAAAATGAAGTAATTATCAGCTGAGGCTGATGGGAGCATCGTTGGATTTGCTGCTATTTGTTCATAATTGGACAAATCTGTATTTTGACTTGACGGTGATTAATGAGACATTAGAAGACCACCGAGTCATTCAGGAAGTTATCGGGACCATGATCATCTGAAGAAGCTTTGACAGCTGTTTATCCAGTGGTTGTTGAACTGTTCCAGCTGTGGATCAACTGACTGAGTTGAGCTGTAGCACAGACACATTTCAATCTCTGCCCTGAGATCGAAATTCTCATGAGAAAGTTCATGATGCTGGTGAAGTGGCAGGATTTTGAATGTTAGCCCAAATGTTACTGTGCTGCTCACTGTGTTGTTGTGGTTGTTGGCCCACGCTGCTGTGCTTCTCCTGCCTGCCTGCCAGATTTCTTGGACACTGCAGCACCACTCAAGGATGCTGTCTGTGTGTGCTCACATGGGAAAGACAGTGCACTGTAAATGATGGCCGGTCTGCACCATGGCTTGAAACTACACGGATGCTGGTTTTTCTCCACTTCCCTCATCTTAATCTCCTCTTTATTCCAGTAAAACAGTTTGTGAAGATGCTTTATCTTTATTTGTTGTGTTGTTGCCAGCATGACTGAGTTGTTGTAATCACTGCTATTATTCTCTCCCACGTTTCCCTGTGAGATCTTTAACATTTCATCTAGTGGAATTGTACTTTTTAAAAGCAAAGCCTGTGTCCTCTTGTCTAACCATTCATCCTGCAGATCAACAATCCAGCAAATGAATAGCAACAGCTCTTTTCATCAGTTTGCTGCAGCCCTCTGATCGATCGCTCCCTGAGCTGTAAAAATACCTTTGTATTGATGCAAAACCTAAACACTTTTTTTTATAATACCGTCTAAAACTTGAAAATGGCTTGGGCTGTACATAGCAGACTTGGGATGAGTCTGCCATGAAGAATGGGCTAAAATTACATCTGAAAGGATCCAAATGCTGCGCAGAGGGAACCCAGTGAGGACGGAGGAGGTTAGGGAGGACGCACAGAGTATTAGAAGGCACTTCATTAAAGGGGGATTCAGACTTTTGCACTGATATGGTTTTCATTTTTTTTTTTTTACTCCTGGACCTTTTTTGTACCATTTGTTGATGAATGAACATTTGCACCAGCTGAATGTGCATGGAACATCATGCTGATGAGAAAAAAAAATCTTTTGGTGTTTCAAAGTGAGGGGATGCAAAACTGAACTGTATGATTCTCTGCAGATTCATTAGCCCTAGAAAATCTAGTTGAAACACCTCAAGCTTTCATATTTGTCTCCTGAAGTCTAAGCTTCATCTTTTTATGATTTGAACAGAGGTTGGAAGTCCAGCCTGAGATCTGTTGACTACACATCAGAGACTGAAATCCTCTTCAAGCCCAAGATTCAGCTCAGACACTGTAAATGATGCCAGTGTACATCTGACTTTACATGTGATAAAGTTTACTAGATGAGACTAAATGCCTATCTTAAAAAGCACAGATTCTTTCTGTTATTGAGCAGCATTTATTACTGTATTTCATTTCAGTAATTCAGTTGATGGCATTGGAGGAGTTGTTTAGGACTTGAAACACAAGGTTTAGGTCCTGAGACTTTGACCTTCCGCTGAACACCATCATAAACTCTGTTAATGAACATGAAGCTCCTGACTTTC